CACAGAAAGATGCCTGATGCCTGGATACATTTACATTTCAAGGGATGGATTTAAAAATAATTAGCTTACATACACCCGTATAGGACAGGAGACGATTTAAGTAAAACGCTCACCTGCCATCGAGTGGATTCTGCCTGTGAGACAGGGCAGATTGGCCCTGTGCGTTCCCGAGCCTGTAACTCTTCACTGGAATAGAAAGGCTCGTCTTGCTCCCACGGAGCGACGGATGGTTTCGAACCGCTGGCCTTGTGGTGAGCAGCCCAATGGCCGCGGTGGCGGCTTGTGTGTAGCTGTGATGCTGGGAGCTGGTTCAAATACCAGCAGGGTCGCCCACGGTGGGTAGGTTTTAGTGATGCTTCCAGACTCGGGAGAAAGGCCTGGCAATCTAGTCTCTCCCCACCCCCCAAACAAACCAAAACCCAGGCAATGAAAACCCTGGGAAGCATAACCGAGCTTGTCTGACAGAGTCTAGGAGGAGCGGCCCCCAAGGTCGGAAGGGCCTCAAAATATATTCAGTGGCTGCAGCCACGGACCAGAGCCCACCGGCAGTCACAGGACTGGGTGGAGGTGTATTCTGTGGCACACATGGGGTCGCCACGCCTCGCAGTGGACTAACTCCAGGGCCCCACACCAGTGGGATCCACACACGGGAAAGCTCCGCAGAGCCTCTGCCATCAGCCTCCATCCACCCACCCCACCCCTTCCCTTCCTGTGGGCTTGCCCGAGGGGCTTCAGAGAGCATGGGTAGTCCAGCTTTACAGGAGCCCAGGGGTTGGGGACGGGGCCTGGCCTGGCTGCTACCTTGCGGGGTGCGTCCTGGGTGTTCGCCACAGGTAGGTTTGCAGGCCCCTTTGCCAACCCTCCGCTCATCCTGGGAAGCGAGCCACCCAAGGACGGTGTTGAGGACCCTCGGGCTCAGTGTGGTGAAGACCCCGGCTTTACAGGAAATAAACAGGGCCCCTGGGCCCCTTGAAGGCAGTGAAGTATCGGGCGGCTAATTAACCGCAAGGTCTGAGGTTCAAACCCACCAGCTGCTCCGGTAAAGCTATCGTTTTGGAAACCCTGGGGAGCAGCTCTACTCTGTCCTGGAGGGGCGGGGTGGCAGTGGGCTTGCATCAGGGCTCCTCGTACTTGTGCACTCCTTCATTCTCTTCCCCATGCCTGAAACCTTCCACGGAAGACCCAGGTCTTCACCCTTCCTCGTTCCCACCAATGTATGGGCTTCCAGAGGCCAGGGGCTAGCTGGGCCCGTCCACGTGCCTGCCCCTGTGGGCGTAATTCTCGGTTGGAGGTCTGCTCAGCGGAGACCAGAGGTTGCTGCATCTGGCCGCCTAACTTTCCCCTCCCCACTGGGAACCAGTAGGAACCTGGGAGCTGAGAGTCAGAGCAGACTGATTGTCTAACTGAGGGGACGCGGGTGCGCTCCTTTCTCTACCCTGCATCCTGGTACAGGTGGCTACTTGGGCACCGCAGAGACAGGGCAGCACTTACAGAAATGGTGGGGGGCGAGGGGGCTGCTGGCGACGTCCCGCCTCTCCCCGCCCACTGCCCGCAGCTGTGGGAAGGAGCTACCCGGTACCCACACCAAGATCATCAAACAGGAAGAGGAGGGTACCGTCGGCGCCGTGCACGTGTGGGGCCGCCATGTTTTCATGGGCTACCTCCACAACAAGGCCAGTACGCAAGAGACGCTGGACGCCTATGGCTGGCTGCACACTGGGGACATGGGCTACCTGGATGAAGAAAACTTCCTATACCTCTCAGGCAACGTCCAAGGTGTACCTTAGAGGAAGGGTAGGAGGTTTGGGGAGTGGGGGGGGGGGCTACTTAGGGACAGCCCTGAGCTCTTGCCCTCTGTGCCCAGAAATGATCACCCTCAAATCGGGCGAGAAGATTAACCCGCTGCCCATGGAGGAGCGGCTGAAGCTGCTGATTCCCATTGCTCGCTATGTTGTGCTGGTGGGGCAGGATGCCCCGTACCTGTGCGCTCTGCTCACACTTAAGGTGAGCGAGGGAAGGGTGCAAAGGGGGCCTACTGTCCGGGTCTCAAGATGGGGCACAGACCTCAGCTCGAGGGTCTAAGTCCAGGACCCCAGAGATGTGGCTGGCCTGGAGTGCTGGCCTCTGTGGGAACTGGGGCATGTATCTCGGAGCTCCTGGGGGCTGCAAGTGGCTGCGGAGAGGCAGGCATGGCAGTTCAAGGCTACCCATCCGTGCCTCAGATCAAAGGCCCGGTGATCCCTGTCCAGAAAACCCCACAGAGCACAATCCTTCCCAGAGATACATGGGGGAGATGGGGGTGGGGTGGGCACCCTGATTCAGTATTGACTAGACAGCAACTGACCAGAAATACCTTTAAAACATCCCTGAGATGAAGCTTGGCCAGTGAAGTCCCTGCTGAGGGGGTGGCCCGGCTCCGGGCCATGCCAGGTGCCTGGAGACTGCTCTCCTCACATGGGGTGGGTCAGCCCTGGAATGATGGTCAGGCATGGAGTCCGACTGCCTCCGGCAGCCCTCGCAGAGCCCTTGCCTGCTCCTGGGTCATGTGGGAACCTGGGCCTGCCTGCCCTGCCTGGGCTGCTGTGGGACTGCCAGGTGGTGCACTGTGGCCGAGCCCCTGTTGAGCTCGGGGTCCAGGCTGCAGCCTGAGCCTTGGTCCCTGTCCGACAGTGCCAAGTCAACCCAGAGTCGGGGGAGCCCCGGGATGCCCTGACCACTGAGGCTGTCGGCTTCTGCCAGCACCTTAAGAGCACGTCCACCAGGCTGACGGATATCCTGTATGACGGAGACCCCATCATCACCGAGTTTATCAACCAGGCTGTCAACAAGGTCAACTCGGAAGCCACCGAGCCCAACTCCAAGATCATAAAGTGGAGGATTCTGGACACCGATTTCACCATGGAGAGCGGGGAGCTCGGTGAGTGCACCCCCACCCCTCAAGGCTAGTTCTGAGATCCAGAGATGGGCAGGTGGCCACTTGGCCCGCCCTGAAGTCCTCACTGCAAGGCGCTGGGGAATTCCTGTGTTGCCACCCATTCACGCCGGGCTGCTGACAGGAGGGCTGGTGCTTCCGATCCACTCAGGAGCAAGGTGGAAGAAAGGCCTGGCGGCCGGCTTCCCACATAAGCCCACCACGGAAAACCTAAGTGGACCCCACACTCCTCTGGCCAGGGAGACTCAGCAGCAGTGGATTTCAGTGGACGTCTTTTGTTGTGGGGATACGGGGTCTTTAGCTCCCTTCTCAGGATCCCTCTGACCAGCAATTACCACATACACCAGGACAGGCACCTCTCTTGGAGGGCGGGTGGAGGGGGGCAAGTGGCTACCATAGCATCCAAGGGCAGGTTGGAGGGGGTCTCTGTCCTGCCCTTCAGGCTAGTGGTTGATTCCAAGTATAACCCAACCCTCTCACTGCCAAAGTTGATTCGACTCCCAGCAACCCTATCGGACAGGGCAGAACTGACCCTGTGTATTTCTGAAACTAGAACTCTTAAGAGAGTAGGGAACCTCATTTTTCTCCTGTGGAGCGGCTGGTGGTTTTGAACATTGGGGGAGCAGCCCAATGAGTAATCACTAGGCCACCAGGGTTCCTCAGTACCGGCCAAGGCCTAGTTAAAGGGCCACTCACCAGGGCCTGGGTTTTAAGGAGGAACCCTGGCTGTACAGAGGTTATAGTCTTAGAAACTCATGGGGCGGTTCTCCTGGTCCGGGAGCTCACGGGGTCAGAACTGCCTCCGTGGCAGTCAGTTTGGTGTGTGGGTGTTGAGTGGAGGAGAAAGGGGGAGCTCTTGTCTGCTCGGGGAGAGAAATGTCGGTGGTGCCAATGCACCTGGGAAGAAAGGTTGGCGATCTGCTTCCCAAAGATCTTAGCTGTGAAGCTCCCTGGAGACCCACGTGGCCACCGCCACGGCTCGGAGTCCGGCTCGGAGTCCGGGGCACCAGGCTGGTCTTGGTGGTGAGCAGGCTGCTGGGTCCTGACAGACTGGAATATTCACAGGGACTGTGGGATGGGGTTACAGTGCCCCGCCCCTTTCTCAACTCAATGGGGCGGGTTCCCTGCCTCTGTATCCTAGAGGGCAGTGGGGCCCTCAGGCTTGCTAGAGACCCCGGGAAGAACAGGGGCAGGGGTGGGCATCCTGAGACTTACTTCCATTTCAGGTGCGAACACAAAAGTGAAGCGGGCCTTGGTGACCAAAATGTACCAGGCGGAGATTGAGAACTTCTATGAAGAGGATGAGGAGGAGGAAGACTAGGGCTGCCCGCTCTTCTGGAAGCTCCGGGCCGTGGCCCTCCAGCGCCCCGTGCAGGCGCAGCAGGAAGTGTCCTCCGAGGGTGGGGTCCACCCCTGGGGGTGTCCCGCTGCTCAGAGAGGGCAGCCCCCCAAATGTTTAAAATTTACACTGAAGAGTAACAAAGCTGGTTCATTACAAGTAGGGGGTCTCTAGGTGGGTGGTGGTGCAGTTGTTCCCTTCCTGCTCCGGGACAGTCCCTGAACACCCCGCAGAGCACGCTTCTGCCCTGATGCACACCGGGTGGGGGTGGGGGCTGTTTGGGCAACTGGCTTCCTTCTCGGTGGGGACGCATTTATGGATGTTACAAGGAGTGCCCGAAGGCCCAAGATGCTGCTCAATGCCCCACCATGCCCGGGAGGCCCCTGGGAGATACCCCTCCCAAACTCAAAGACTCCCTGCCACTGAGTCAACTGCGGGTCACATGGACCTTAAGAGACCGAGTAGAACTGCGGCTTACGTTTCGAGACAGCCTCACCCTGCTCCTGTAGAGCAGGCTGGTGGGAATGAGCTACTGACCCTGGAGTTTGCAGCGCATGCTTAACCCACAGTGCCACCAGGGTTCCTTCCCAGGATTGGGTGAGGCTCTTCTGATGGGGATGGGGGCTCGAGGGTCTTGTCTAAGTCCCCCTGTCCCTATTTCAGTAGTGCATCAGAAACCGACCCCACTGGCGTCCGATCACCAGCAGGAAAGCCCTGTTGTTGGGGAAGACATGGCCGAGTGACCTGGTACCAACCCACCCCTACCTGGCCATCCATCCGCCACCAATCGATCTCTCTTCACCCATCTTTTCCCCTACTCATGGACTCTTGTCCACCTACCCACCCACCAACCCATACACTGTCTGTTCACTCAACCCCTAGCCATCCTTCACCCATCTATCTACCCCTACTCATCCACTCCCACCCACCCACCAACCCATACACTGTCTTGTTAACCCAACCCTCAGCCATCCATCCACCTACCACACACACACTAACCCACCAAACCATCCACTGTCAGTTCACCTAACACCATCCATCCACCTGTCCGTCCAGGCCTGCCCCACTCGCCAACTCAGCCTTGCTTTTGGACCCACACTGCACTGCCTGCTTCCAAGGAAAAGAGCTCGGTGTTCAAAGCAGGGCCCGGGATGGACAGACAGATGCTTGACCTCCGTGCTCCCTTTGGACTGCTGAGGGCACCCTCATCCCTCCAGGACGCCACCCTTGCCCATCCCCCCTACAGTCCGAGCAGGGTTGGTCCCCACCCTTTGTCTCCCCTGCTCACTGGTCGAAAGCACTGCTCAGGGAGGCGCCACGGCGGCCACCCCCCCAAACCGGGCTCCAGGCGGTCCGCCCACCAGCCCTACCGAGCCAACAGGCTGGCTTTCCATTTGACTTTATTTCCGTTTTTTTTTCCTATAAAACTCCTCCATAATTTCACAAGTTAACAAAAAGAAGTTTAAAATGCAGGACAGAAACAATCCTGCGGCTTATTACAAACACGATTCCCCGAGTTCCTTTGTCCGGGAGCGGGTCTTGGCCTAGGAAGGCCTGGCTCCCAGGGGGATGCGTGCTTTGAAGGAACCCTGGCGGGCAACGGAGGCATTCCACACCTTCTGCGCGCCGCGTCGGCTGACGCTTGTTTGGGAGAGAGCGAAACAGGGGTTTGCACCAGGGACGGGACACTTCACACGATACACGCGGCAATCACAAAGTGCCAGGCCCCTTCCTATGCCAGTGTCCCCGGAGCCCGAGCGGGCCCAACTGTCAGGCAGCCGGGTGGGCGGGAGCAGCTGAGAAGGCCGCAGGCAGGGGCGCCGGTGGTCTGGGTCTGCTCGCCAGTTGAGGAGGTAACTGAGAAGGGAGCCGGGGACGCCCAGGCCCTGGCCGGTGGGGCACAGCAGGCCTGCCGCCCATTCCTGTGAGACGGGAGGGCTGCCCAGGTCACAAAGTCACGATGGCCTTCCTGGTGGGGAGTGTTTCTGGGGAAGAGCAAGCCTCAGTCACCCACCTTCTTGGAGTTGTCAGAAGAGAGGCGCCCACTGGAGTATTGCTGGCCTGTGGGGAGGGGAGGAGAGGACGGCCCGCCCTCTGCCCATACCTGAAGGCAGTGGGGTGGGGAGGAAGACAGGACGGGGTGCACCAGCTGCTCCTGCGAGTCCTTGGAGCAGAACACTGGGGAGGTCACGGGGCACTGGGGGGCTGCCTGGGGACGAGCCCCCCGCCCCCAACCTCTGGTGTGTGCAGTCTTTCAGGAGGTGGTCAGGATGGAGACGCAGGAGCAACGAGCCCCGAGTCCCGGGGCCTGGACTTCTGGCCGGGGGACAAAGAGCTGGAGTATGGGCGCTCCTGGCCCCAGGCCACCTCTTCCCACTTGTCCTTGGAGTGGGAGGCCTGTCTGCCAGAGAACTGCCCAGTGCTCCCTGGTCCTATTTGGCAAAAGCTCATTGTTTCAAAGTTCAAAGACTTGATCAACACATGGAGGCGGGTGACAGGGTGGCCAGGGACCCAGGGGTCTGTCCCCAGGCCCCCCAGCGCTAGTCTGACTAGGCATGGAGCAGGGTCTCTGGAGGACTGCCACTCTGTCTGTAGTGACATTGGCCCAAGGCAGCGACTGCATCCCTCCCTGGGGAGGTGGCCTGGCAGCTGCAGCTGACCACTCCAGAGGCCCCCTCCATGGCGACAAGACCAGTTGAGATCCCTTAACCCACACGTCCAACCTCATATCCCCACCCCCACCCACCCCACTGCTGTCCCAACTGTCAAGACACGCACGCATGGGATACACACACACAACAGACAGAGGGCTGTACAGGCGGCCAGCACAAAGGGGCGCTCCTGGTGCAGGGCCCCGCCTCCCGCTGCCTCCGCCACTGGCCAGTGCTGGCACCTGCCACCTACAGCTGGGCGAGGAACCCGCAGCCAGATGCCCCTTCCATGTCCACACCGGCGGCCCCGCAAGTCTTCAACGCAAAGCCCTTCCCGGCCGAGAGGAGGGTGAGGGCACTAGGCCCCCCTCGGGCCAAGGCCCCAGGGAGCAGTGGGGAGGGCGGGCCAGACGCCGCCGAGGAAAGTGCAGCAGGCGGTGCGGGCCAAGGGCAGGGCGGTGGCTAAGGCAGCGCTGCGGGCTGGCGGGCGGGAGGCGGGGCCCCGGTGCAGGCTCCGCCCCGGGTCATGTGGCCACAGCCTCCAGGTAGCTCTGCAGCTTTCGCACGGTGGTCTCGTCCAAGGAGAAGAGGTCGAAGTCGAAGGTGGTGTTGGTGACGTTGAAGTGGCCCGTCTCCTCGATCAGGTTGACGATCTGGGAGGCAGGGCGCGGGGCGGCGTCAGCAGGCGGTGGGCAGAGCAACCTCACCTTCAGCAGCTGCCCGGGCCCCGCCCCGCCCGGCAGTCTGGGCCCCGCCCTCCAGGCCTGGCTACCTGCTGCAGCACGTTGCGCTCGCGCAGGGCCATCAGCCTCCGGTGCAGCTCCACCAGCTCGTCAGTGTAGGCCTGTGGGGGTCGGGCAGGCGGTGGCGTCATCGCACCACCACCCGATCCGCCCCGGGAGGGCCCCCCTCCCCACCTTCTCCCCACATCACCTTGTCGTAGGCGCCCTTTTTGAGGATCTTGTCAGGCTTGCTGCAAGAATCGGGGCTCCGGCGGCCGGAGGCCTGCAGGATGAACCCCAGGACCACTGAGTACTCACCCCTCCCAACAACCTGGGGCCCAGTTCAGAACCCCGAGTCCTTCAGAAAACCCAGGCCCAGATGGGTGCTGGCTTGCTCCAGTGACACCCGCCCCCCCAGACTGAGCTCACCTTGCTGTTGGGTGGGGGCGGCTTCTGGGGGGGCGGGGGCTCACGGCTGGGCAGGCAGGAGTCGGCACTATTGTCGCTCTCGCTGTCACTGAAGCTCAGCCTGGAGGCGACAGGCAGGGACCATGCGGTCAAGGCCCTGCTGCCTCCACGTGAGGCACTACACCGTCCCACCCCACAGGAGCCACGGTCCCACAGGAGAGGCCAACAGCCTGAGCCTTGTCTGGGCCATTTCCCTCCTCCCAGCTGAGGCCCCATCTCTGGATTATGGCCCTACCTGCCCAACCAGGCCCCTCCTGGTCAGCCTCCCCGCTTCTATCTCTCTGGTGTCCTGGGTCTGGGCACAGTTCTCTTCCTTCTCCCAGCACTTTGTGCAGGGATGTGGGGCCAGGAGGGCAGAGTCCCTCAGGTTCCTGTGCCCCCATAACCCTGGAGCCTGCCCCCATTGCCCTCTGGGGCATCCACCCGGACACTGAATCTGGTGGCCCCCACCCAACACCAAGGTGCGCCTGGTCCTCTCTCAACCAGGGGTGGGGCTGTTCCCCCACAGTGGCAGATGCCTCGCTGACCTAGAATAAACCCCAGCTGACCAGTCAGCTTCAGGGCCCCTGCCTGGCCATGAGGCTGGCATGGGCCCCAGGGTGGCATTGCTGCCCACACCCAGCCTCTTGCCTCCCCTTCCCCGGTCATATTGGCTCACGGAGACACTAGCCCTAGGCCAGATACTGACCCTGCACTGGCCCGGCCCTGAAGTCCCACACAGCAGACAGCTACCATCCCCACGGGCAGCCTGGACATGTCCCGCCACAGCCCCTCACTCTGCAGAGTGGGTGGGGAGCATCAGGCCAGCCTTGGGTGCTACCCTCCAGACCACTGGGCAGGTGGTACTTGGATGGGGTGGGGCTCATGGAGAAGTAGGGGCCTGAAGGCCGTCCTGGGTCACCCACGCTCACCCATACTCTAGGCCACAGCCCTCAAGTTTGGGGCCCCTCCCTCCAAGACAGGCCTATGGGGCCTGGGTCCCACCTGTGCCTCACAACTCCTCCACTGCCGACAGCTGAGTGTCCCCAGACCTCTCTACAGGGCTGCCCCGCCGAGGAACACCACAGACAGCCTTGGTGTGGGCACGGTGGGGAGGGCACACCTGGCCACCTGCCCAGCAACCAGAGGAAGCCTATCCTCCCAGCCGGCCTCAGCCCACCCGACACAGCGAGGCCACGAGACTCGGGTGCTCGCCCCTGTCCCATCCTGACCCGGTCTCCAGCCGCTTGAGATGGCATGCCCAACCTAGCCCAGCCCAGCCCACCCTCCCTGCCGCTGCAGACAGCATAACGGCTGTGGGCGTGCAGGCGCAGTCACCTGGAATCCCGCCCTGGGTTTGTCGTCTTGACGGCCGCTTCCTCTCCAGAAGAAGAGTCGTCCTCATCTGACTCCTCCGACTGCAGGTCCTCTACCATGGAGCGCAGGGGGCCTGTGTGGGGCAGGGGAAGGCCAGGGCTGTGGGATCATGGGGGGCCCAATGCCCAGCCCCAACCCTCCACCCGTCTGGACGGTGGTTCCTCCCACCCCACCCTACCTTCCTGCACCCTGGCCTCGGGGCCTGGCCCTGCAGCGGGGCTGTGGGGTGCCTCCATTGCAGCAAGGGGACCCTCCAGTGCTCCCAGGGGGGCTGGTGCTTGGGTGGGCAGCGTGGCGCCCAGCCCGGGGCTCTCCCCTGGACTGAGGCAGTGGTGGCGGAACCTGCACCCCACCACTCACGCTCCCCTGCCTGCCCCTCGGTGGTCCCCTCGGCAGCTCTCGGCCCACTGCCCTCTCTTTTTCCAGAGGCACACAGTTCCAGTCCCCTACCGACGGCATCTTGGTTTATATCCCCGTTACCAAGGCGACAGAGGGACACAAAGCCCTCAATTACCTTGGTCACGTGCTCCTGCTCCAGCAGGTCCCCTCCCTCCTTCCCCAGATAAGAGCACTTGGAGGGCGCCGGCTTCCTGGGCCCCATCCCCCAGCTCCATGCGCGACTGCGCAGCTCAATGCCAGGCCTCCCCCCAACGGACTCCGGGCTGTGGGGGAGGGGAGTCACTCCGACCAGGGAAGATTGACTTCCTGGCCTGGGGGGTCTTCACAGGCCCCCACCCTCATCTGAGCTTGCCCCACCCCACAGGGAGAGACCACAAAGCAGGAACAGGGGACAGGCCACAGGGGGATCCTTGAGTCCAAGGGGGTGGGGGTGGCACCAGCATTTCCTCAGCACAGCCAAGAGGCTTGCCACCCCAGGAGGTCCGGGGCAGCCCCTAAGGGCCACCGCAGAGGGCTTTTGTCCCAGCCCAGCAGGCGGCAGCCTGAGACCTGTGAGGGCACCAGCCGCTCGGGCGGGGCTTAGTTCTACTGCGGGCACCCACCTTGACTGTGGTTCTGGGATGGTTCGAAGTCCGAGTCCGAGCTGGAGTCCGCGCTGGAGCTGGAGCTGGACGGGCTGGATGGGGCCGACTTCAGCCGGGTGGGCAGGGGAGAGGGGGACTCCTTCAGACCACAGGGAAGGAGGGGTGGGGGTGATGCCCTCGGTCCCCTCCTCTAGCCCCTCTCCCTATTGTGATCCAGGGGGAACAGACAGTGGAGACAAACCACCTACCACCAGGGCTGGGGGTGGGGAACAGAGCTCTGGGGCGGGGTTCACCTGCCTCAAAGAGAGTCGCAGCCAGCAGATGGGGGCAATGGGAGCGGGCAAGGGCTGCTTTTCATGGGTAGACCCTCCCCCCTGCCTCCGTGTCCCCAGTGTCCTGCGGGGAAGACAAAAAGCTGTGTCCTGTCTTGTGTCACTGGCTGTCCCTGCGGCGTGGCGGGTGTGTGCATGCGTGTGCACTGAGAGCTGCCCCTCTCTAGCCTGGGCCCTGAGCCCTGCAGGTGTCCTGTCCACATCCTCTTTCCTGCGCCTGTCCACCCTAATGCAGCCACCAGGGGGCAGGAGGACAAAACAAACTTTGGCCTCCATGGGAGGAGGCAGCCTCATCCTGAACTCAGCCCCTCCCAGTCTCCAGTGGCCCCAACCCTTAGGGGAAACCTGGACCGCACGAGCCTCTCCTTCGTCACGGGGTCCAGACTCTTGTCCAGAGGGCAGACAGCTGTCAGTGAGCAGGGCCACAGACGCACAAGTGCCCATGCCCTGGGTGGCTGGTACTGAACTCCACAAATGTGTGTGTGTGTGTGTGTGGGGGGGCGCCCCTCAATTGGCCGCCTGCTGGGCTGCAATGTCCCAGGCCAGGAAACACCTCAGCGAGCCCCCCCTCCACCTGGCAGTCAGGAGGCTTGCTCAAGAGCCCCTCCGCATGTGGGGTACCCACCATAGGAGCAACAGAACTGAACATCTATCACCCCATTCTGAGCAGTCAGGTGAGGGTTCGCTCCACAGGGTGAGCAGGCTGGAGCAGGACCATGAGGTCTGTGTGCATGTGTGTGCATGTATACATGCCGCATACATGTATGTGCGCGCGCACATGTGTGCACCCATGCAGATGGATGCCTCGAGTCACTGGCCAAGGACTGAGGCGAGGGGCAGTGAGGAGGGTGGGCATCGGGATGCCAGTCCCACTGTGTAGCCCCAACGGGCGTGCGGCCTGGGAGCAGAGCAGTGGTCCATCTTCCTAGAAGGCTGGCTCAGACTGCGCAGCCTCTCTGAGCACAGATGGCAGGCTCAGGCCGGCCGGGCTTCTTCAGAGTCAAGTGGCCCCACTGCAGCACAGCCAGCCGGAGCATGGCCACCATGCCCGAGCACCCTGCCAGTCTGCGCCTGGACCCATGTTCACCCCATGGCATCTGGGGAGGTGGCCGGGAACAGTACGCAGCCGCAGGGAAGACACAGTCACCCATGCTGGCAATGAATGGGACATGGTGGTAGGGAGGTTTGGACCAGGACCTGGCCCCTGGGGTGTCCCAGGGACTCAGATTCCCTGCTCACCTGCCCTGTGCCCAAGGACAGGTATGGGGAACCAGGAGCCTGAGACTTGGGTTCAAGCCCTAAGTCTCCCCTCGAGTGGCAGCTTCCTGAGGCTCAGCGGCGAGGGGGTGGGCTCACCTCGGACTTGAAGGAGGCCTCGTCCTCCGAGTGGGATCCCTCCACCTCCACAGCCTTCTTGGCCTCCTTGGGCTCACGCTCTGCCTGCAGCTTCTCCCCTTTGCCGCTGCCCTTGTCCTTGGCGGGCTTTCTGTCCGAGAGGGAGGAAGACGAGGTGCGAGGCGAGGTGCTGGGGGCACTTCGGGGCCCCTTGGAGCTGCTCTTCTTCTGCTTTTTGGTGCTGGGCTTCGGCGAGTCCGAGGTGGCGGGCCGCTTGCTGGAAGACTTGGGCGGGGGTGGGGCCGGAGGGCCCCCCTTGGGGGACAGGCTCTCCAGCTTGGGCTCCTTCAGGGCCAGCTTGGGCTCCTTGAAGGCGGCCTTGGGCGGCGCTGCCTTCTCCTCCTTGGGCGGCCGGCCCTCAGCCAGCTTGCGGGGCACGTCCTTGGTGGCCTTGGCTGGCTCACGCTCCGGCTCCTTGGCGGCACTCTTGCTCTCCGAGTCCTTGCGCGGCCGCTCGCGGTGTTCCTTGCTTGCCTTGTGTGGCTTGGAGGACTTGCCACTTTCCTTGTTGGCGTCCTGCAAGGCCAAGGGTGGGGGCACGGTCAGCAAGCGGCCCAGACCTTGCTGGCGTGGCCCACCTGATGCTGCCTCCGCCGGAAGAAAAGTGGAAAGCCTGACGGCAGTGGGGAGCCTGAATGAAGTGGCCCTTGGAAGCCTGTGAAACAGGTCGTGCCCGGCCAGACCCTCAAAGCACCCCACAGTCTGGACCTAGCCAGTGCCTCGCAGCGCCCCACGGCCCGGACCCAGCCAACACCTCACAGCACTCCAGTCTGGACCAGGCCAGTGCCTCGCAGTGCCCCACAGCCTGGTCTTCCTGAGCCCCATCCACAGGGCTTCACGCAGTGCCCAGGACCTCACGCACACACCACATCTGCTGAGGCCGCCATATTGGCTTTCCTCCAATGTGTCTGGCCTGGGGGTCCACCCTGAACTTGCACGGCTCCCACTCCCACCCTCGTACCTGCGCTCAGAGCAGGCAGTTCCTGGGTGTTCTGCCCCGCAAGTGGCGACAGGCCCACGTGGGGCAGCTGTAGCGGCACATCCATTGTGCCCAGGTCCAGACCGAAGGATGAAACCAAACTACCAGGCCCAGGGCCGTGGTCTCTATGGAAACAGATCGCCACACCTTTCTTGTGCAGAGCAGCTGCAGGGCTCAACCCACCGGCTCAGCCACAGCCCCTGTAGGCTCTTGACACTTCACTGCACGTTTCAGACGACAACTTGGCAGTCTACACCAGGCCGTGTGCCCCCGCCCTGGAGCCAGATCAGCTTTCTGAACACTGGCTCTTGGGGGTTCTGTGGCCATGGCCCTTGACTGGTGGGCCAGACTCTTCTCAGGGGTGCCGTGGGATCAGTGGAGGAGAGCCCAAGGCCTGCCAGCTGGGCTCTCTGATATGAAACCATTCGTTTCCACTTGCTTGCAGCTGTCCGGGGCAGCACCCACACCGGGGACTACCTCTGGCCCCAAACACAGTCACTACGTGTGGGCACCCAGCGCATACCACACCATGCAGGTGGGGGGCCTCTTCACCATGGGCGCCCCCCAGTCCTCAGTCACGAGGGGTCAGCTGCTTTGGGCTGTGTCTGACCCTGAAGGTAGCGATGGCAGGCCAGGTGCACAGCCAGGCCCAAGGCTCTCAGACAACGCCCACCTGAGTCTCTCCCAGGCCACGGCCTCACGGGCTAGTGAACCAAAGGGGTCCCGAGCGGCACCTCGGGGAAGGCGAGGGCATTCTCACACCTTTCCAGACGGAGCCCCTCAGGACGGCCGCTGTCACCCTCACAGACACCACGGGCCTGTCCTGCTGAGCCTCTAGGGTCAGCTCGGCCACCACGGCCTCCTTGACTGACACCACAGGCCTGTCCCTTCTGAAAGGAGCTCTGGGGCAGCTCTGCCATCACGGCCCCCCAGCCCACAGGCTGTCCGAGCTTGGTGATCTGGTGACAAGGACTCCAGCACCCCGGGGGCACTCCCGGCCACACGCTACTTGAAACAGCAGGAACTTTCCAAGTGGAGACTCTCCCTGCAGGACAGACCCCCGGGCAGACAAACCCCTGGGAGACGCAAACTGAGCTCCGGAGTACGACCAATGGCCCTGCCTAGCGCCCAGCAGTGTCTGGGAGCAGCCAAGAGTGGGGGCCTGGCCCCCTCCTGGGGGGGAAGTCTCTCTCTGCCTACAGGGACCCCAGCAACAGAGACCCGCTCTGGGTGGGGTCAGCAGTCATGTGCCATCGACTCCCAGCAGGACAGTGTGTAGCCACCAGGCCTGCCTGTGGCAAGGTGACAGGAGTTCCTGCCCGAGACCCCTCGGTGGACACCTCCGTGCCCACAGGGCCCTGCCCAGCAAACAGCAGGCAGCTCTGCGGGGGAGGCAGGGGTCCTCGCAGCGTTTCAGCTGACTGGAGGCAGCGATTCCAAGTTTGACTCCCGCCTGCAGAGGTCCCAGCACATTCGCTGCGGTGGGTCAGAGAGAAGTGCCCACCACCCCGCGGGAGAACTCTCGGCACTCAGCCCCGCAGGAAGACAGGTGCCAGCGTGGGCAGACGAAAGAGCGCCCTGGGTGCTGCTGATGCAGATGGCTCAAGGACGCCAAAGGCGTGACCAAGGAGCAGACCAGGGGCAAAGTGGAGCAGCGCACGGGGCTGGCGACAAGAAGACAGGCAGCCGCCCGACTGACTGCCAGCTGGTGTCCAGGCGCCAGGCACGTGTAGAAGGCGGGGCAAGTGTGTGCGTGGAGCACAAGAGAGGCCTCAGGCGGGCGCGCTCAGAGAGCCCGCTCCAGGGAGGGGCAGCTGTACACTGTGTGCACGTGCGCGCACAGGGAGACGCAGTCCAAGGCCTCGGCTGCGCATGCTCAGATGGAAGTGGCAGCTGTACACTGTGTGTGCACACGTGAGTGTGCTTGGAGAGCGAATTCAAGCCTCAGCTGAGACTGCCCCAAGAGAAGTGGCAGCTGTACACGGGCAAGGACACTTGGAGAGGCGACCAGAGGCCTCAGCTGGGCACGCTCAGAGAAGGTGGCAGCTACGTGTGTGCAGAGTGATTTAAAGCCTCAGCAGGGCCCGCTCAGAGACTGGGGCAGCTGTGCAAGTGTGCACATGGAGACGCACCCAAGGGCTTATTGGGCCCGCCCTGAGGCAGTGGCAGTGCTCAGCGGGGTGCACGTAGACAGGGTCTGCAAGCTGTACATGTGCACACGTGGAGATGCACCCGAGGCCTCAGCTCTATGTGTGCACACGTGTGTACATGGAGAGTGATCCAAAATCTCAGCTGAGCCTGCTCAGAGAGGCGGCTGCCGTACCCATGTGCTGCTGGAGGCCTCAGCTGGGCGCACTCCGGAAGGGGGCAGCTGCACACATATGCACAGTGTGTATGTGCACGTGCTCAGGAGGGGTGGCAGCTCTCGGGGGAGGGAGACAAGATGATACCCAGCTCCTCCTCCATCAGCTGCACCGCTTGTCCTCTCTCGACTCCCACCCTGGCCCGAAGCGGCCCTCTCCACACAAGCGGCTGCCCAAGAAGCAGAGCCCGGAAGACTGAGTGCAGAAGCAGCAGGGCTGGGCAGACGACAGGCTGGGCCCCAGGCCGGCCAATGAGCACACTGTGTGCAGTGGCTCTGGCTCTCCTAAGAAGGGCGGTGCGCGGCAGCCAGGCGGAGCAGAAGTCCCAGAAAGAAGATGCGGGCAGCTCTGCAGGGTGCCGAGCCCCACCCTGCACGACGGCCTGGGACGGGCCTTGCACCGCACTAACCTTGGTGCTGTGGGCCGGTTTGGTCTTCTTGGGGTCAGAGAAGGCAGAGAGTGGAATTGTGGGTAACATGGGGTAGTCGGGGCTGGGCCTGGACACGGTTTCTGCTCCTTCGGGCATTACCATCACCTAGTGATAAAGAAGAGACAGGCGTTACGAGGGAGCGGCTGCTGGGTCAGCGAGCCTGGTGGAGCGAAGAGAAGGCGGGTCGGGAAGATGTGCCTGGGGTGCCTGGAACCCCAGAGGGGGCCGTGCCCACCTGATCTTGGCACTCAGGTGCACAAGACGAGAAGCTGCAGCATGAGGAGCCAGTGGGCAGCCTCGGTGAACGCTGTGGGAAAAGCTGCCCTGGCCTGCTGCCGGGAGCAGGTGGACGATGCAAAGAGCAGAGCTGGGAGAGTGGGTATCCTGCTCTGGGGAGTGGGGCATAAGAAGCTTGGGGCCCCTCGACGCGGCGCTCCCAGAAGCACCGACAGGCAATGGCCATCAAGTCAACTCTGGCTTCATCGGGATTCGGGGACCCGCTTGGGGAGACAGATAGCCAGGCCTTTCTCTCACGTAGTACCCCCAAGATCAACGTGTGCACACCAGAAAGCACCCTAGAAGGTGGCGGGGATGGGGTGGGGATATCCGGCCCATAATGTACTCTCCCAATGTCTCCAGGTAGATAAGATGAGGGCCTTCAGTCTAAGAAGCCTGGGATGAGTGGTCCTGCCCGGGGTGGCTGTGAGCAGAACCTACCAAGCCACACATGGCCAACCACAGCCATGCCCAAGACCTAAGACAATGGCCATGCATGGTGGCCAATAGCACACAACGTGAGGGTGAGCCAAGCCAGCATCCGCGCAACCGCCCTGCACCGGTGCTCAGTGCTAGCTGGCTTCAGCTTCAGGATCATGTGCTCTCTGTAGCAAAGCCCCCTGTGTAAGAATGAGCAGAGTCACGCCTGCACTGGGGGCCCCACAGAGAGGCCCATCTCAGCAGTTGGAGGCGGGGCAGCCCTGTCAGAGAAGCCACCAGTCTGGGTGGCGACTGGCTGCTCTCCACAGAGGCCCAGGGACAGCCCATCCCTGAGGACCCACCACCTGCCCAGAAAGTGGCATTTTTCTAGGACATGTCTGCTACCTCACAGGAGTGTCCAGAACTCAGACCCACCCAGCAGCTTGTGGGGCCTAGAGGGAGCACGGCTCATCCACCCTGGGCCTCTGGGGCCCTAAGCACCCCCCACCCCACCCCAAGCCTCAATCTCTAAGGCTCTCTGGCTGCTCCCAAGCCCAGAACAGTCTGGAAGGCACGCAGCTCAATGGCAGGCCCCTTCACACAGGGAGTCTGCCCCTGCCCTCGCGGTCTGCACCAGGCTCATCTGGAGACATTATCCGAGGGTCCGAGAGAAAGCGGACCCGACGCCTTCTGGAAACACCCAGACACCTTGTGTCAAACACACGGTGAGTGAGCAGGAGGGCAGGCCGAACCGGGAGGGCCTTGGGCAGGGGCTCCTGTGTCCCCCTTGCCAGCCAGCCCCCAACATGAATCTCATGCCCATCACAGGACCCGCAGGATCAGCCACGGCCCCACAACGGCCCCACGGCGCTTTAATTAAAGGAAAAGTTTCTCCATGACCATGTGGACCAGGACACCCGAAGGAGTGGTCACATGCCCTCCATCAGTCAGCAGTGCAGCCGCTATGATCACACAAACTCACACATGCTCACATGTATGCACACTCATACACACGCATACACAAACAGGTATACACACACACTCAGACTCAAACTCACTCACACACATATACAATACATACAACACACACACATGCTTACGTATGCACACATATATACACTGACAAGTACACATGCACACACAAACTTACACTCATACATATACACAATACACAGCCATGCAATCACATGGCCACATACTTGCAAACTCACCGACAACCACGAATACAAGCACACATTTACACTGTCACGCGCGAGGGGGCTTCAAAAAGTTCAAAGAAACTTTGAGTAGTGAATTTTTCTCCAAACTTCCCGAAACCCCCACAGACACACACTGACATACATATACACTAGTTCATACACAACACAATGGCAGACTCCCTCACACACACACTCATGCACAGTCAGATCCAGTGTGTGCAAAGGTCTAATGACTTAGGGTCCCTCAGCGGTGACTTCTGGATGTCCTGTGACCAACCACAGCCTGCACCGCCGCCCCACAAACAGTCTAGTTCCACCGCCAAGCACCCCAGCTCTTCCTCCGCCTGCCTCTGCCAGCCAGCACACCACACCCTCCCTCGCTCACTCCCAGTCACTCTGAGCGGACCCCAGGGCCCACTCAGGGTTCCCTGCCACACAACTCACACGAGGACCCACTCGTGAAGGGGGCCCACCTCCACGCACAGACCGCAGGGCAGAGCCTCACAGAGCAGCCACTGAGATCCTGGGTGGGATGGTGCCAGCGGCAGCCCTGCCAGGCCGGTTCCAAGCCGGCTCCAGTGCCAGCCACGCGGACAGACTGGCCCAGCGCCCATTCCTGCCAGCCCCTCAATGGAGGAAGATGCTCATTAACCAAAGCCAAGCAGGAAGCAGCCAGCCACTCATCCCTGTGGCCGCCGCCCAGAGCAGCCGGGAATGCCTGTGTCCTCTCGCCTGGCCAGACCCCTGGAGAGCGCCCCCCAAAGGCCCCCAGTGCCTCTGCCTCAGGGCCACAGCACCCAGGGCCTCTGCCAGCCCCAGAGGCTTCTGCCCATCGCGGTGCACTCACCCCGCCTGCCCTCAGGAGCTTGCACCGGAACTCGTAGGTGGGGTTGTTGAAGGTCAGCTTCTCACAGCGGAGGTGGTTCACCGGCGGGTTACCCTCCAGGTTCAGGAACAGGTCATAGGTGAAGCACACCTTCCTGGGCTCCTCCTTCAACAAAGTGAACAGGAAGTCAGGGAGCCCGGCCAGACACAGAGGGCAGTCCCACTCCCCACCCTGCCTTCTCTTCCCTGCTTCTCCCACTCAATATTCTTCCATCAGTGCCTATAGGCCGGGGGGCTGGGCAAGGGGCCCTGGTGGCACAGCTATAAATCACTGGGCTGCTAACCCAAAGGTCGGCAGTTTGAAGCCACCCAGTGGCTCCAGGAGGAAAGCCTGTGATCTCGGAGCCTCTCTGGGGCAGTCTGCTCTGCCCCACGGGGCAGCAGCTGTTGAGCTGAGAGCACTCAACACCAAGAGGTAAGAGATCCCCGAGTTTCTCCCTCTGACAGCTCCTGGGGTGGCAGGGCCCACCAAGGCTGCCCAGCCACAGGGACCCTGCCCACCCACCAGTAGAGAAATCAAAGCTCGGCACCCCACCACCTCCACCCGCAGTCCGTCACTGGAAGTCTCCCCACCGGATGACTGGGGGTGTCCTGAGCACAGCGGGCTAATTCAGCATTGCTCTGAGAGGCTCATGGTCAGGCCTCTTCATCTCCGGCCCCCCCACCCCAGGGCACACTGGGGCGCTCGGTGGGATTGGGGACAAATGTTTCTTAGTGGCAGCTTCAGCAGAGTGGGATGGGGACAGGGGCGTGTTGGGTGAACCAGCTGGGCCAGGCCTCTTCATCTCCGGCCCCCCCACCCCAGGG